TGTGGGTAAAGTCCCTGAGTCTGGTTCCCGTCAGTAGGTCATCTTCATATCTCTGATGTTTGGTTTCAGTTTACAGTGACGAATCAAGGATCAGTTCTGTAGGTCATCCAGTCTGATGTCTGATATTTACTATTCCTTGGCCCGGCGACAGTTAGAGTGGCAGCCATTTTGTTTTCTGGTTGTCCATCCATCTCATTTGTGTGGACATGATATCTCAGACGCGCTTCAACAGAACTTCTTGAAATTTGACACAAACATTCACTTGGACTCAAGTGAACTGATTTTGGTGGTCAAAGGTCAAAGGTCAGTGTGACCTCACAAAACACTTTTTAGCCACTACTCAAGACTTCACACAGCAATTATAACAAAATGTCACACAAATAGTTCATATTTTACAGACTCTGGATAAACAGGGATGTAACCTGAAACTAGTTGAAGTGGAGGAGGCAGAGAAGCACAAGGAGGTGATTCTAGTTTTAATTATTTATCTTTATAAGCATCTGTAGCTGTATCTGAGTGCTTTTAGTTTAATACAGAACAGCAGCTGTGTATAACAACAGGCCTGAACCTGATGAGGAGTCATCACACTCCTACAAACTGTGACACAGGAGCTGAACATTACCATGGTGACTGTCATGTTATCCTCTGTCTCCATTTATGGTACAATGAATCTGGGTGCTGTCCTCTGATTGGCTGAGAGAGTGCAACACACTGCAGCTTCAGAAGACACTCACATTGATTACTCAAAGAGCAGCTCTCTCCCCTTTACACAACTGACAATTTGCAAAGACAACTCAGTAGGAAACCTCGCTAAAGGGGCCCCTTGTCATTCCCTGGTCGATTTGTAATGACGTCTCAGTAGAAAACCCCCCTAAATTGGCCATGGATGTATTATAAGACCTGGGTAAGGCTTGCAGTCAATTTTTCCAAACGGCTACTCGAGGTACACGAGGTATTGCAGCGAAAAATCCCCTGTGGTCCAAAAAGCATTTTTCCCATAGACCACAATAGTAAAAGAGACTCCTGTAAAACTGTTGACAGGATACCTCCGGCTGTAAACACAGTTAATTATTAATCTTTGTATTGTATATTTTTAAGCCATCAAGCTGTGTCTTGGGAACAAGTATGGATGTACAAAAGTTAATAGGAAAACTGAATAATTAACGACATAAAGGTGAGTCTTTGTTTTCAAAATCCTTTTGATTTATTTCATTTATATCATTTTCAATTCAAATATCTGAGACAATAATATATTTAATGAAAATACCTGGATTCTGTGATAGCTACATTTGTGGACATTGAAATTCTAAAGTGTTGTGGAAATATTGTATTGTATTAAAAAAGTAAAGCCCTCGTTATAGTTTATCTGACAAGTTACACAAATTGTAATATCTGTCACATGCTGCATCAATTTCTTATCAAAAATGCACAAAAACAAACTAAACGTCAAACTACATATTCTTGTCCAATTTTGATGTATTTAGTGGAATCCAATGTGATTTTAAGCTCTAAAGCTTTTAATTGAATGAAACATTTTTCCTATAACATCACAAATAACTGATATCAACAATTGCAGGGTTTAATACCGTCTTACTTTTCAGAGCATTATCTTCATTGTTTGTTGCTGTTGCCATTTGTATAAATCCATGGTTTCAAGTCCTGTAGAAATTGTATTACTCGACCATCCCAATCCAGAATGCTGTTTGCTCGTTCTCATAGCCCAGAGGCATGATGGGAGTGGGCCGCATAACGCAGAAGTAACCCGGAAGCCAGGCGAACAATTCCTATAGAACTGGCGCCATTTTTAGATCAGGGATCGAGGTCTTATACATCCATGAAAGGGGCATCATGTCATTCCCTGTTTGATTTGTAACAATGTCTCATTAGGAAACCTCCCTAAAGGGGCCCCGTGTCATTCCCTGGACGATTTGTAACAACATCTCAGGAGCAGTGCTGCCAACTGTTTTCAGTAAAGCTGCACAAACACACAAGATCTTTTTAATCTGAAGACAATAAATTGAATTTTGTTCAAACTTAGAAACATGGCTGGCTGAGCATGTGCCGTTCACTCCAGACAAATTCAGCAGTAACAGGATATTTTATTGTGAAAATCTAATGATGAGTGAAACAATCCAAACTACGTCCAGCAGCATGAGGTCATGGTGCAGACTTCCTCACTCTCTCTCTAAGAACTGTGGTCAGCAGGTGTCACTGATTGTTACCGAGGAAACATGGCTCTGGCCTGGCGGTAGGTTATTTAGCCATTTGGCATTATTTTTGTGAAACTTATATTAGACTAATCTAAGAGCAACATGAGGAGTGGTACAGAAGCAGATCTGTCTCACCACATTTTCAAATTAAAAGCCTGTGAATATTTAGCCCTTTTTTTTTTGCATTGAAATTATGTAACTACATTTTTTTTACTCTGATTTCAACTCTTGAAATTTATAGGGGTCAAAGGTCTGCTTTTCACTAATCAGTCACTCTTTCACACTTGTTCCCTTGTCATGACAACAGAAAACATGTCAATGAGAGCAGTTTTACTCTGAATTCTGCTGTATTAAAATACTGTATATGTGAACACAGAGAGACTGAAACCAGCAGATACTAGACAGAATGATGGGACAGGTTTAGCTCACAGAGCTAATGATGAACACAGCTTTACTTCTCATCAGGCCAGTCGCGACTCCTCTCTTCATTCAACAAAACACCTTGTACAAGTCTGGACCTCCTCTGGTCAAATCCTGATTTTATAACTGAGACTTTGTCTGACAAAATCACCAAACACATCAAAGACTGAGCTGTGAGTTTAGCTTATGTACTGTAACATGAAAGACAGACAGAGACAGACTGTCTTTCTTATTTAGTCTCACACTGACCACAGCCTCCGTCTGAACCCACAATAGTTTAGTCTTTATTAACGTAACAGATTTTGATTAGAGGCAGGGCTTTATGTGTAACTTCCTCTGCTTGATATGTAGAGTTGGTCATAGTCGTTAGTACGAGGCCTTGTTACCGATGACTTCTCTCTCTCCCTGCCTCTCTCCTGCTCTCTCTCTCGGTGTGTCTTATGTTTAGTTATTGCTCTGCCTCCTTTAGTAATACTGATACATGTAATCAAAGTAGTTTATTTGCTGTGATGGAGGCGAGGCTCAGTGTATTGGAAGCGCTCCTCCTCTTCCATGCAGTTCCCGAGCAGCCGGAAAAAAACGGTGACATTTCAGTAGACTGAAATGTCATCAGTCAGTCAGTCAGGGACATTCATGCATAAAGGGGCTGACCCCGCTGTTAATATAAAAACATATGTAGTGAGTTTGGCAGGGGGTTAGTTCTTTTTCAATGTATTTTTAGAAATGCTCATGAATGTGTGAATCGTGTCTTCAGCATTGTTCACTTTTTAACCTTTTCACAGCAGACAGGGGACTGGTCCTGAGTGACTGGTCCTGGCAGGTGAAGCACAGGTGGTGAGCCACCACACTCTTTACAGCACAGTGCACATAATTACTGAGGAATGACTCAGGAAGGAGTTGATTGGAATGAATCTGTGACTGACCACTTTCATCATTATATCACATGGTGAGTTCCTGACCAACCAATCAGAGTCAGCAGTATTTTAATCATAATATTTAGGCCACATATTAATATAATCCATGTTATGTTCTGGTCCATTAGTGATGATGACGACTTGAGACAAATGGAATGTTGGTGATGGGGGTCTGCTGAAATGACCTTTGACCTCTGAGTGGCTCTGACTAGATGAACATGGATCATTCAAGTTAGTGCCAATGATCTTTCCAGCCTGTTGTTGTGAACAATGCTGAGGTTCAGCTCACTGCAAAGGTTCAAACTGACTCAATAAAAGAGGAATAAAACATTTTCAGAGCGATCTGTCAACGTTCAGGAGAACAGCCTTTGATTGGCTCTGATTGTACTGACTTACTGTTTCCACAGCTGTGCTGGTAATAAAAGACGGAGCTCTGATAGGTGAGTGTTCTTTGTCGCAGAGACATTGAGTTACAAGCTGTTCTACTCAAACAAACATGAGTTCAGGTCAGACAGTTTCACTGATCCAGTGACAAATTTTCAGTTCAGGAAAACCTCATAAAAACCTGTGGAACCATGAGTCACTTGACTGGTTCTACATGTTCTCAGATATTTATGTTGCCTCAGTATAACAACACAGGAGCAAATACCATCAGCTGTTCATCAGGAGTGAGACCAGGACCAGTTCCACAGAGACTGGTAAGGCTGGTAAGACTGGTAAGACTGGTGTGTAGTGTTGGTTTAGAGATCAGTCTGACTCATTGTAAGACAGAAACATAAGACATCTTACCTCTAGACTAACTCAGGTCTAAGACCTATGTTACTATGGTAACAATCAGTGACACCTGCGCTGACCAGCAGCACCAACAACAACAAACATGAAAACATGGCTCATAGTTTGTGGTTTACTAACATCATCAGATCAAAGAGAAAAGATTTTTCTTTTTTATTGTTTCTCTCTTCAAAGTAAAACTTCCTGTAACTGTTGAATTCTTCCTAAAGATAAACAGTTTTATGCTGAGGGTAAACAGAGCTCAGAGGTTGACGTGGACCCTTGGTTGGCCATTTTTTGATTTTGAAAAAAATCTTAATTTACCCAGATTTTATTGTTCCACAGTCCAGCTGAAGATAGTCAAGAACTAAACTGCTTTGTGCAGCAGGTGAATTAAGATTCACTCTCTCTGAAGTCTGACTGTTTGTTCTAAGACACAGTTAGAGTCTGTCTCTGGCTCAGCAGGACACACAGACTAAAGACATTTTATCTTTCTGGGAAAGGTCTTGGTCCAAACAGAAACTTCTTCATGTTCTCCTCACCCTTTTGCTGTTTGTCATGTGTGAGTTTCCAGACTGATTGTCTTGAAGCTACGGCTGCAAGTTCTTATCTGACTGTTCAGGCCTGATGTGTCTCAGTGGGTTAACAGTGGGCTGGATCAGTGTCTTCAGTGTTTAGTACTTACCAGAAGTTATGAGGAGAAGAGCTGAGACGGTCATGACAGTCCTGAAGTCCATCACAGAGCCAATGAAGGACAAATAGACAGAGAGATAGACAGAGCAAGAGAGTCAAATCAGATCAAGACGCCAACAACAGAAAAACTGATGAGAGAGGAAACAGTGCAGAGGTGTTAACTCTCTCTCTCTCTCTCTCTCTCTCTCTCTCTCTCTCTCTCTCTCTCTCTCTCTCTCTGTGAATCACTTCATTCTTCTTCTCTGACCTGCTGCTGCTGCTGCTGCTGCTGCTGCTGCTGCTGCTGCTACTGCTGCTGCAAAAGTGCAGATTTCCTCCCTTCAAAGCAAGAGCTGGTGAAGACAGGCAGAGAGGGGTGGGGAAAATAACAAGTGGTGATAAGAAGGGAGGAAGGAGGAAGAGGTAGGAGGAGGAGGTGAAGGGAACAGTAAATTCACTTTTTTTTTCAACATATGTGAGTCATGAGCCTCTGCTGTGTGACACATTAACGCAGCGTCATATAAAAACTGCGATTTCACGATTTAGCAAATAAATGAATGAAATACTGTAAATTATAATGCACCAAACTCTAACAGAATGAAGTCGTCTTAAAAATGAGTCAATATTATAGATATAGTGTTGGAAATACTTGAAATTTAAATGACTGATATGGTCGAGGTCGCTGCATAAGTCTTTTAATATAAATAATATACATTTTATGTTTTTCTTACCTCCTTCAGAAACGAGTGTGGACTCAGGATGTCACTTAAAACAAAGGTAAAGGTGAAGTACAGAGTGAAGGTCAGGGACCTCATATCATTCAGTTTTCCTCTGAAGTTGCTTCGACCTTGGAGGAGATACAGAGGTGTTTGCTAACGTTAGCCTCTGAGATTAGCCTCCATGATGTGACAGTGAAACATCAGAGTGTTGAACTGAGCAGATTTATGACTCATGAATTTTTCATCTGTACGATCATGTTGGTGATTTCACACACACGTGTGTGAATATGAAATCTTCAGATGGAATATTTCATTCTAGAACACAGCCTGACTCAGTCTGACCAGAGTAGTGTATATATATACACACACACATACATACAGTGTAAACACATCTCTCTAATGTATTTTTAATGACGCATGAAGACTAATTCCCTGAATGTGTCCTCCTGTATAAGACAGTGTTTGACCTGAATGTTTCTGGTCACACACTTTATTTTAACTGTTGTAGAATATCTATGTAGACATGATTGTTGAGTCAAACATTATAAAGTTAAACAAAGATGGATGATTCCAAATAAGTGTAACCACAACATTTTACTACACTGAATTATGAGCAGCGATTTCAATGATGATTGTACGTGAATAAAGTTTCCAGTAACTTGAATGACATATGAGAAATGTGACGTTACATTTTTTAATGTATTGGTTTGTAATTTGTTTTTTAAATGTATTGTATATACTGTGTATAACATATTATATAACATGTATTGTGTATTTGATGTTTTGTGCCTATGGTAAAAATGTATCAATAAAATCAAAAACGTCATACACACATATATTACATATATATATATATATATATATATATATATATTTATATATATATGTGTGTATGTGTATGTGTGTTCATGTTATATATTGTATTTTAGTAATTCAAGAATTCAGGGCAAGTTTATTTATTTAATTTAATTTACTTTAATTGATCTACTTTAATTTAATTTTTGATTTTATTTATTCAGGTGAATCCCATTGAGATATAAATCTCATTTTCAAGAGAGACCTGAATGTACATAAAAGACATAATAAAAACAGTTCATGAACAGATAATCCAAAAAGACTTTTCCATACATTCTAAATAGCAAACAATAAAAATTTTAAATTTTAAAACATATGAAATGCCAAAATGGAAAAAGAGAAAAATAAAAGCCCCATCAGTTAAAACGTTGAAAATCTTGTTTCTAAGATGTGGATCATTTAAAGACCATCCGTCTTTAAAGTGCTCTGCACTATTCCATCAAATCCAAATGTGATTTGTATATTATTTATTTGTTAATGAGAATATTATTTGTGTAGCAGCTTTTAACAACAAACAACAATCAACAGAACACAAAGAGCTGAGAACTGAACTGACACATTGATACAGATTTAGATTTTAAAAAGACAATATAATTCAATATAATACCTATACATTTATTTACTTTAATAAAATACCCAACTTTATTAACAGCTGAGTCACCAGAACCCTAAACCACAGAGTGAGAGGAGGTGATATGCATCAGTCTGGTTCTAACCCTGATGTTTCCCACCTGCTCTGTAGGGTGGGACCTGGTTTATGGAATAGGAGTGACACATCACCTTCTTCTTCTCACCTATCTTCTCCTCCTGACTCATTCTACTCTCCGTTACTCTATTTTTCTCTCATCCTCCGCCTCTGGTTTACGGCGCCGTAGAGAGACAAAAGTCCCACAGACTTTCACCTCCTCCCCCTCCTCTTCTTCCTCCTCCTCCTTTCTACTCTGCACTTTCTTTCTCGTCACGCAGGTCGCTCGCTCTTCTTAGGAGTCCTGTCACAGCCTGACATGCTGGCCTTCAGCCAATTAGGTGGAAGCTGTCAAATTTTAAGTCTTTTTGTTCTGTATTTTTCTTCTTCTGTAGTTTTCTGTAGTTTTCATCCTCTAGTTTTTTTCAGTTTTAGTCTTATTTTATTCATTTTTCTTTTCAGTAGTTTTCTTCTTCAATTGTTTTTTTCTGTTTTCTTCTTCTGTAGTTTTATTCAGTTTTCTTGGTTGAGACAAACAGCCTTCTTGTGATTTCTCTGTAAATTTCTAATGAGATTTGGCCTGAAACACAACTGGAGAGGAGAAAAAGAAGAAGTCTTCACATGCACATAGTCCTTATTTTTGCCTTTTTCTTGAGTTTGGAAAAATGCTTCCTCCTGGTCTAAAACAGTCTGTCAGGTTTGTATGTTTTCTGTACAATCTGTGCTGTATATTGAGTTGAGTCAGATCTCAATCTGTTTTTGTAGATATTTATGAATGAAATGATCAGATTTCTCATTTTGGCTGCTTTAAAAAGTTAAATCACTCTTTTTCTTTAACTGTCTATAACCAAGTAATTTTTCTTCTGTTGTTTCAGTTTTCCTCTTCAGTTGTTTTATTCAGTTTTCTTCCTCTGTTGTTTTATTCAGTTTTCTTCTTCAGTAATTTTCTGTAGTTTTCTTCTTCGCAAGTTTTCTTCTTCTGTAGTTTTCTCTTGTATTTTCTTCTCTAGTTTAATTTAGTTATCTTCTTCTGTTGTTTTATTCAGTTTTCTTCTTCCCTAGTTTTATTCAGTTACCCTTTCTGTAGTTTTATTTAGTTTTCTACTTCTTTAGTTGTATTCAGTTTCCCTTTTGTGTTGTTTTATTCAGTTTTCTCCTTCAGTTTTTTTGTTCAGTTTTCGTCTTCTCTAGTTTTATTCCTTTTTCTTCTTCAGTAGTTTTCTTCCTCAGTTGTTTTAGTCAGTTTTCTTCCTTCTGTAGTTTTCTGTAGTTTTCTTCCTCTCTAGTTTTATTCAGTTTTATTTAGCACCAAGTGTGCCACTGGTCCCTGGCACCAGAGATTATTATTAGGGCCCTCGCACCAAGGGTGTGAGGACCCTATTGAATCCTAGCTTAAAAACCTTGATAAAAGTAAACCGCCTTTATCAGGGCCTTCTCATGATAGAAAAGTCATGGAACTTTCCACACACGTCAGGCCTTGTGAAAATTTACATCTGGTGTGGGTCTCACATGTAGGCATGGCAATATGGCTTAACAGTGCCCCTTGCAAAATTTCAACGAGGCCCTTCCCATACCCGTGGTTTCACCTACATGTACGAAAATTGGTAGGTGCATGCATCATGCCAGGACTTACAAAAAAGCCTCTTGCGCCCATACCCTAAACCCAATAGGAAGTCAGCCATTTTGAATTAAAATTGCAATTCTGGCGCACTTTTTGCGATTTTAATAAACTCCTCCCAGAGTTTCAATCAGATTGACTCCAAATTGGGTTCACACCATTGTAAGACCTTTGTGATGTTAAATTGCAAAGCTTTTTTAGGGTTGTTGAACAGCGAATTTCAATGGTTCTCCAACAGAGGAATGGAGGAATGTCATGTTTCACTGTAGACCCACAGTAGGACTCACCCAGATGTCTGAAAATTGGTAGACATGTGTATCATATGGAGATGTACAAAAAAGCCTCTTGGATCCATACCCTAAACCCAACCGGAAGTCTGCCATTTTGAAATTAGCAATCTTGATCCATACCAAGATCTTAAATTGCAAAGCTTTTTCACGGTCATCCATTGTCCCACAGCCCTTCACCTTTGTTCTTCACCTCATTTGATTTTCTGTTGATTATTTGGCATTCAAGCTTGAAGTGATTTTGTGAATGAGCTCCTCTATTATTGACAGTTATTTTGTGTCTGTAACCTGTGTTTTTTGGTCACTAAGCAATAAAAGGCAGTACTTGCCTGACTACACTGGCAATATGTTGCTTCCCTCATTCCTAGACATCTGCAGGTTGTAACATAAATGGGGGCTTGTCTGGGATCAAATTGATTCTTGTGATCCAAAAAAGTGATACTTGTCAAAAAGATGATCTAAAAGAGTCTATTGTGCAGGATGACAGTGCTCTGGCTGAGGGTAGCCGTGGGTGATTAGCTCCCAGTTTCTAATGAGCTAATGGCGCAAACAGTCCTGGGTGTTGACTTCAGGGTAGGGAGCAGGGTGAAAACGCCAGTAACTCTTCCTCGTTCGGACCCTTTTTCTCCTGCTTCTTCAGGGTCTCCAGATGAGACTCGGTTGAAAATACGTCTAGCTCATCTCCATCTGGAGGCTCAAAAAAAGGTACAGGATCATCAAGCACAGTTTCAGTTCCGCTTGCAAGTCAAAAAGCTGGAAATAGAGGCAGACAAGGCCAATAGGCTGCGTCAGCTTGAGCTTGATTCACTAAAAGAGACCCTTACGTCAGAGGCAGCCCCTGTCACGACAGGCACATCCTCCACTTCTCCTAGTTTACAACATAATTCATTTGATATCAGTAAACATAAGGCCTTGGTGCCAACCTTCCGAGAAACTTAAGTGGACTCGTATTTCAGCGC